GTTATATAGTTACTGAAAGTTGTTTTTTCTTTTTAATTTGGACTATTATACTAATTTAAATATTATATCCTGCCTTTTTAATGTAAGAGATTCTGGACTCAGAAAATAATAAATAAATGCTGTAGTAACAGAATCAGTAGTAGGAGCTCTTTGAAAATGAATGGAATGGAATGGAATGGAATGGAATGGAATGGAATGGAATGGAATAGAATAGAATAGAATAGAATGGAATGGAATGGAATGGAATGGAACGGAACGGAACGGAACGGAACGGAACGGAACGGAACGGAACGGAATAGAACAGAATACCTTATTTTGCCAACTGTGGTTAGATATATAAGGAATTTGTCTCTGGTACAGCAGCTTTTAGTATACATACAAACAACAGTGACAAGTCATAGATCATAAATCATAAGATACAAACAATTGATACATCATAATATATCTATAGGAGAAGGTAGTTGGAGAGATGAAGTGAGAAAGAGGAGAAGATGACAAGGATAATAGCAATACAGCCCTACTACGTGGGTAACTATCTTTAGGCATAAGACAGTACTGTGGGAGTTAGGTGTTTAGCAGAATGATGGCATGGGGGAAGAAACTATTAAGACAATTAAGAATAAGGAGGGAGAAGACTCAGTGGCATTATAAGTAAGAGCAAGAAAACAATACAGAAAAGGCATGGAGAACCTATGGCCTTTAGATGTGGTTGAACTTCGCCTGCCAGCAGCTTCTGCCACCTTAGACAATGGTGAAAGCTGTTCAAAGTTGTAATTCAGGGGAATTACATCCTCTCCTGGCAGGCAAATTAATTAATGGTTCTGCTTGCCAGAGAAGCAGATTACTAAACCTTTTTTTAAAAAAATGTCCTCAGCATGCAAAGATCAACAGCCACTTGCAAATTGGTAATAGGTTTGTACTGAAACGAATGTTCAACACGCCAGGCGCAGCTGAGGGCAGAATCCAGAATATAGTACAGTTTGTTACCATATGGCTATATAGGATAGAGTGAACCTGGAAAGAGATAATGGAGAAAAGAACCAGGAATAGGTAGGGGGAAGAGAGAGAGTGTGTGTGTGTGCTTTTAATATGGGGAAGCACTTCCTAGGTAGGAATACAATACAATAGAACAATTAATCAGTGGAAAGGCTCACCTTCAGAAGTTGTGGGTGCTCCATCATGGGAGGTTTTTAAGAAGAGGTTGGACAACCACTTGTCTGAGCTTGAGCAGGGGGTTGGACTAGAAGACCTCCAAGGTCCCTCCCAAATCTGTATGTGGTTTGTTTCTTAATCAGATTCAGGTCTAGGAAAATGTATTGTGCCAAAATCTGTACTTGGATTATCTCAGACATTTCTATCTTCGGTGGAAGATGTTTCTGTTTGAAAACGCTTGAGAATTTGTTTTGTTGTTGTTGTTGTTGTTGTTTCTCTTGGAGAAGTTTTTGAGTTTGATTGTAACGTTGAAGTGGTGAAGGTTGCTGTCACTGGTGGTGATCTGTAACGTATGTTCCCATCCATCTGAATCTCTACTGCCCACAGGAGGATTTTCCTCCTGATATATTTCCCTTGCGATTTAATAGGATCCTAAGAAGCCAGGGAAAGGGATGTGGTGGTTCAGTGACTAAGAGGCTGAGCTTGTTGATCAAAAGGTCAGCAGTTCAGTGGTTCGAATCCCTAGTGCCGCGTAATGGGGTGAGCTCCCGTTACTTGTCCCAGTTTCTGCCAACCTAGCAGTTCGAAAGCATGTAAAAAATGCAAGTAGAAAAATAGGGACCACCTTTGGTGGGAAGGTAACAGTTTTCTGTGTGCCTTTGGCATTTAGTCATGCCAGCCACATGACCATGGAGATGTCTTCAGACATGCTGCCTCTTCGGCTTTGAAACGGAGATGAGCACCGCCCTGTAGAGTCGGGAACAACTGGCACGCATGTGCAGGGGAACATTTACCTTTACTTTTACCTTTAAGAAGCCAGGGAGGGTGCAGATTGTTGAAGACACAGCCGTCCCTCCAAAGGCAAGCCATCCAGACATACCCCTTTGGTTACCACCTAAGGAAATAAGTGAAATGCCCCTCTCTCCACTCAATTACTGTGCCAGTAATTTCAAAAGTGAAATCCTTTTCATTCAACTGAATATGTAGAAAAAATGGAGGAGAAATGTTCCATGTGGCACTCATTGGAATGCTAAGAATGAATATCAATGAGAGTCTCTCACCCAGCTTAAGTCAACCAGGGATAGTCCAGAATGGTAGGACAACAACCTCATGTTCCTTGGTCAATTTCTGGAGAAAAGTAGAGGAGCTGTAGATCAAGACACCAGAACTTGGAGACAACTACTTTCTTTATTGTTGTTAGTTGCGAAGTCATGTCCGACCCATTGCGACCCCATGGACAATTTTCCTCCAGGCCTTCCTGTCCCCCAAAGACCATTTAAGCTCATGCCAACTGCTTCTGTGACTCCATCCCGCCACCTCATTCTCTGCCGTCCCCTTCTTCTTTTGCCCTCAATCGTTCCCAGCATTAGGCTCTTCTCCGGTGAGTCCTTCCTTCTCATTAGGTGGCCTAAGTATTTTAGTTTCATCTTCAGGATCTGGCCTTCTAAAGAGCAGTCAGGGTTGATCTCCTCTAGGACTGACCGGTTTGATCACCTTGCAGTCCAAGGGACTCACAGGAGTCTTCTCCAGCACCATAGTAACTTCTTTCTACAGAACATATAATTCCAGTTTCATTGGGGTGCTGGTGGTCTCACTCATTCATTCATTCAATTCACTCCTCCAGAGCTAATGCATTCTCCCACTCGGTGGGGATGATGAGAATCATAGCCTAACATAACCCAAGATCAGTAACTCTGTGGTTCGGATGTGCATAAAAGATGACAAAATTATCATGAAGAAGAGTCTGATTGCTGGGTTCCCAAAGTGGAAGACAGCTTAAAGCTGCTCAGAGTACCTACTGTGTGTACCTCAAACTTTAGAAGGAGTAGTAGAACGTAGAAGTTTGACGTAGAAGAACCAAGGGAGACATGATAGCAGTCTTCCAATATTTGAGGGGCTGCCACAGAGAGGAAGAGATCAAGCTATTTTCTAAAGCACCTGTAGGCCAGACACAGATTAATGGATGGAAATTGAAGAAGGAGAGATTTAACCTGGAAACAAGAAGAAATTTTCTGATAGTGAGAACAATCAAGCAATGGAACAGAAGTTGCCTTCGGAAGTTGTGGGAGCTTCATCCCTGGAGGTTTTCAAGAAGATGCTGGATTGCCATTTGTCAGAAATGGTGTAGGGTCTCCTGGTTGGGTGGGGGGTTGGTCTAGATGACCTACAAGGTCCTTCCAACTTTGTTAATTTGTAACTCTGTAAACATGGAGGCAGAGCCAAAAGGGGGATCAGCCTAGAATCCCTATGTAGTCACAAGCAGGCTAAGTCCATCACTACACAATATTAAAAGTATCGTTGCAAGATGTAAGCTGTTACAAGTAAGTCTGCCTTATGCAATTGACCGATGGCGAGTTTGTCAATGCCGAGCGTATTCAAGCAGGTGCTAACCATTAGTTGAGAAGATCTCTGTGCATAAGCTTTTAGGAACAAATCAATTTAATTGGGCCTTCACAGTGGATATGCTCTCTCACACCTGACACAAACAAAAAAAATGAGATTTAAAAAAAGGGAAGCTGTATTTCTGGAACTGCTTTGACTTCAAACAGCTTGCAGTAGAAATAAACTCACTTTGTTTAAGTGAGTTAAGAATTTGAGATGTTTTGAAGTAAAGCCTTGTGAAGATGTCATCCTTTCCCTCTAACTCACGCAGGCACAAAAGACATACTGTATATCTTAGATAAACTGGAGGAAATGTCAGGTGTCATTTCCTCAAAAGAGGTGCAGTTATATGCAGAAAGAAATCCTACCAAATTAAATCCAACCTGGGCCCAGAAAAAAACAGGCACAAGATTGCAGCTGAACATTTTGAATAGGATAGTTTTAGGAAGGTCACGTTTAACACTGCCTTTCTCTAAATCATGGACACACAAACATAGAAATCTTAAAAAAATAAGATGATTTCCTGTAGCAGACAGCAGCCTGTGGATTCCAGATATTAAGGAAAGTGGCAGAATAAGAATAAAAATTTTATTATGGTCATTGACCAGCAATAGACATACAATAAATTAAAAATAATTCTGACATTAATCGTGACTAATAACATCCCTGTTATGAAAATACATGGTCTCAAACCGTTAGGGTCACTCCCTAATTTACATGCATGGAGAGCCGATAAGTATGTGAGTAAATGTATTTTTCCAATAATTGTTATAAATACAGTACCTCCAAAAAATTGACAGCAGTTGACTTCTATAATTCTGTAACCAATTTTTTTTCTTATGGACATTGCAGTGACACAGAATTTTGCCACTGCCCGTGGGGTAGCCGGATTTGAGTCCTGGGGGAGAAAGCCTACAGTAAGGGGAGGGGAGTAAGTAAGGGGAGAATATATATTGACCTAGATACTCTGTATAACTCACAGTACAATAAAACATGTGAGATATCTTCGACTTCTCCTTTTCCACATATACGTACCCGTTCTGCTATTGGTGTTCTCTTGTACCTACTCTGGAGAAGTGCTGAGGGGAGAATATTAAATCTGGCTCTGAAGGAGAGTGGTAGACCACTTCCTTGCTTGAGCTCCTGCTTCTACAGGTGAAACGAGCTGAGGATGAAATAGAGAAGTCAAAGGAACAGCATCTCGACCTGCATCCTTTCTCTGCAAAGGTATTTGAGGTCAGCCCCATAAATTCACGTCCATCTGCACCCGGGATCATCCCCAAATGGTTTGCCTTGTCTTTCTTAGATACTTCCTTGGCTTATCTTCCTCCACCTTCACTTGGAATGTGACAAGGCAGGGAAGGCTTGTCATGCTGGACACAGAATCCATTCATCTGTGATGTCGAACTGATGTGTGGAATACATTCTTAAGAAAAGCCAGGACACTCCCTTGGCTTCTTCTCTTTGGACTAGTACAAGGGAGTGAAGATGACCTCCCTGAGTTGCTGTGATGACTGGCAGCTTCAGAGCCACACCCACTTCTCCCCAGATTACATAAAATGAATGAACAGGTTGGACTGTGAAGCTACTTTCCAAGCTTCTCTGTGACTTCTCTTTTCCGGCCACCTTCAATTGAACAAAGGGGCGAGGAAGTCAAGCTCATGGTGTGCCTGAGCACGATGGCGAGGAACACCGATATGCGCTGGCGCTTACCGTTGATTTGCCTGGTCTGGGAGGTGGCCATGATTGTCCTTTTTGGGATTTTCGTGCGCTTCAACCCGGAGGCGAACGTGGCTGATTGGGAGAAGGAAAAACAGCAAAGGAACGTCTCTGATATTGAGAATGAATTCTACTTCAGGTACCCCTGTGAGTATAATTATACCAGGCAACAAGCTTGGAGTGGGTTTTTTTGGCATGCCTTTTGTGTTGCATTTTTCCTCTGCAGAGATTCTGAATGGCAGAAAAATCATACTTGAAAATCATAAGGCTGCGCAGAGCTCCAGTTTAATGCCATAATATGTAGTAGCATAGTCAGCCTGAGTCTGGGCTTACTGGTTTTTATATAATCAGCCATGGACTTCATGACTTTACAGGGACTTTCTTTGTTTGATTGGGCTGCACAACTTCTCCTGGGCTGTCCTTGATGGCATCCTGGATCATGCTCCAAAATGTAGTGGCTGCCACCACAGCAAAGGCTTTTAATCTGATTTAAAAACTGAATATTGCATTCAGTTTTGGTCACCACGATGTAAAAAAGATGTGGAGACTCTAGAAAGAGTGCAGAGAAGAGCAACCAAGATGATTAGGGGACTGGAGGCTAAAACATATGAAGAACAGTTGCAGGAACTGGTTATGTCTAGTTTAATGAAAAGAAGAACTAGGGGAGACATGATAGCAGTGCTCCGATATCTCAGGGGTTGCCACAAAGAAGAGGGAGTCAAGCTATTCTCCAAAGCACCTGAAGGAAGGACAAGAAGCAATGGGTGGAAACTCATTAAGGAGAGAAGCAACTTAGAACTAAGGAGAAATTTCCTGACAGTTAGAACAATTGATCAGTGGAACAACTTACCTGCAGAAGTTGTGAATGCTCCAACACTGGAAGTTTTAAAGAAGAGATTGGATAACCATTTGTCTGAAGAGGTGTAGGGTTTCCTGCCTGGGCAGGGGGTTGGACTAGAAGACCTCCAAGGTCCCTCCCAACTCTATTATTCTATTCTGATTTCACTTTGCTTGCCTGTGCCTTGAAGCCAGATGAGATATAATGAATAACATTTGTATTTCCATTCATCTTTAAAAGAAATAGTTTAAAAGTAACAATTTTGAAGGTTTGAGGAGGGGGGGAATGTGTCCGAGAGGGAAGAAATCTATCACCCTTCGAAGTACTATATTTCCACTAGAAATGAAAAGGTGGATTGTTTGGTTTACAGTTTGGATTGTTTCATCTACTTCAAATATCTAACTCAACTTCCTCCTGTTTTATGTATGCATGCAATGTGTATTTCTTCACGATCTGTATGAGATAAGCCTATGCTTGGAGTTTCTCCCTCATTTACTGAGTGAGGTTCTTAATGCCCATCCTTAAAGTCCTGATCTGAAAAATTCCTTCTGTGCTTAGGTAGGGTTCATCTGGAGAGAATAATAAAAAAGTGAATCAAGATGTTTAAACCAGAGGTCTCCAACCTTGGCAACGTTAAGCCTGGAGGACTTCAACTCCCAGAATTCCCCAGGCAGTTTTGCTTTGCTGTCTGGGGGAATTCTGGGAGTCGAAGGCCTCCAGGCTTAAAGTTGCCAAGGTTGGAGACCTCTGGTTTAAACCACAACTGAAATACAGCCTTTCTCAAAGGAATCTTCAACGGAACAGGACTCCTAAAGAGCCTTGGTAGTACAGTGGTCTAAGGCACCCTGTTATTAAGCTGGTTATTAAGACCAGCTGCCTGCAATTACTGCAGGTTCGAATCTTGCCAAGGCTCAAGGTTGACTCAGCCTTCCATCCTTTCTAAGGTAGGTGAAATGAGGACCCAGTTGTGGGGGCAATAATCTGATTTTGTATAAATATACAAAAGGATGAAGGCTATTGCTGAGCACATTGTAAGCCGCCCTGAGTCTCCGGAGAAGGGTGACATATAAATCAAATTAAAAAAAAATTGATGATTGATTGATGATTTAGCTGATTTTTATTATAAAATAACCTCTGAAACCCAACTTCTATTGTGGCTCAGCTTGGAAATTGGACAGTGTTTCCCAATCTCAGCCATTTTATGCTGGCTGGGGAATTCTGGAATTGGAAGTTCACATATGTTAAAGTTGCTGAAGTTGAGAAATGCTGAAATAGGGAAAGGAAGGCTGAACAAAAAGCGTCTTTTTTAAAGAGATCATAACTCACATTGAATGTTTATGGAGTGCAGAGAAAACCATTGCCTTTATTAGAATTCCAGGCAATCACTTGTCAGTTATCTCACGTTCTAGCATTACAATTTGATTTTTTTTAAAAAAAAAACTTGGTCCTTTGGTCCTTTTCCTGCTACTAAGCTGGAATTCTCTTTGCTTTTCTATTTCCAACACAAAACTATAGGTCAGTGATGGGTAACCTTTTCCGGACCGAGTGCCCAAAGCGTGCGCGCCCCCGGATTTGTGCACATGCGCCCAAACCCCCAAGATGCAATGCACGCATAGCCCCCGTGCATATGCCCTCCCGTGCACACGGCTCCCGCACATGCCCCTCATGCGCATGCGTGCATGCCTCCCTGCACATGCCCAACTCCCGCGCGTGTATGGCAGACACCTGAAGACCAGCTGATTGGTGGGAGGTTCACACGTATGCGCGGCACAGCTGAACTGGGGCGATGGCTCGCGTGCCCACAGAGAAGGAATTGCATGACACCTCTGGCACGCGTGCCATACATTCGCCATCGCGGCTATAGGTTATCCCCACTGTCACTCCCTATCACATCTATGGAGATTCTCCATCATCCTGATTATGGTTGTCCCAAAAGTGCTTTTCCAAATGGCAACTGGACTTCCTTGGATTTATTTTTCCCTCTTGAAAATATTTCACTTCTCTCTCTCTCTCTCTTTTTTTGGAAAAAGTTTTTTATTTTTATTTCTCATAAACATGTCTTAAATATACAGCCTCTTATCCATTGTTGATCACACATATTCTCTTTTAACTTTCATATTAGTTCAGTCTTCATCCTAAAAAATTTAAGTATTTAAGTATGCTTGGGGTTGCTCTTCTACCATTCCATCTCCCTTATTTTACAACAATCCTTCTTCTCCTTCTCCCCTCTTTCCCTTCCTTTCCTTCTTCTATCCTCTTCTACTTTCTTCTTTCCTCCTTTCTTCCCCTCCTCTCCTTCTCCTTCCTTTCTCTCCACACCTCCCTTCTTCCTCCCTTTCTAACCTTCTCTCCTACTCTTATTTCCCTTCCTTTCCTTCTTCTATCCTCTTCTACTTTCTTCTTTCCTCCTTTCTTCCCCTCTTCTCCTTCTCCTTCCTTTCTCTCCACACCTCCCTTCTTCCTCCCTTTCTAACCTTCTCTCCTATTCTTATTTCCCCTCCCTTTCTTCCTCTCCTTTTCCCTTTCTTTTTTCCCTTTCCCTTTCTACCTCTCCTTTTCCCTTTCTTTTTTCCTTTTCCCTTTCTTCCTCTCCTTTTCCCTTTCTTCTGTTCCTCTCTCTTTCCTCTCTTCTCCCCTCCTCTCTATCCCTCTACACCTCTTTCCATTCTCTCTCCATTGTTGTATTTATTTTCAATTCAATATTTTCCAAAATGGTATCCGAGCAGCCCTGATTTTCTGTTTATATTTACTTTCTTTTACTTATTTTTTTTTTCAAAAAGAAGAAGAAGAAGAAGAAGAAAATATTTTACTTCTTATCCAAGAAGCTTCTTCTGAAGTTTTAGGTCCAAAAATAGGTAGAGAGAGCTAGCATGCTGTTAACCAATCATTCTATCCAGTGGTGGGATTCAAATTTTTTTACTACCGGTTCTGTGGGTGTGGCTTGATGGGTGTGGCATAGCTTGGTGGGCGTGGCTTGGTGGGCGAGGCAGGGGAAGGATACTGTAAAATCTCCATTCCCTCCCCAATCGGGGGAAGGTTACTGCAAAATCCCCATTTCCTCCTGGGACTGGGACTCGGGAGGCAGAGAATAGATGAGGGCGGAGCCAGTCAGAATTTTTACTACCGGTTCTCCGAACTACTCAGAATTTCTGCTACCAGTTCCCCAGAACTGGTCAGAACCTGCTGAAACCCACCTCTGATTCCACCAATCTGGAAACTGGGAGACTCTTAAGTTCTAGTATCTCAGTTCTGAGAACTAAAGACCCTTCATGGATGAGAAGGAAAGCATTTTCCAGGGGGGGGAAAAAAACCAAGGAAGTCCAGTTGCCTTTTGGAGAAGCATTTTTGGGATCCCTATTTTGCTTTTATTACCTCTCTTTTGAGCCACTGCCAGACCTCTGACTTCCCTGCAAATAATTGGTGACAACGCTTAAAACAAGTTTGAACCTCTTAAGAATGTCCTTGGCAGTGTCAGAAAAAAGCTTAAAATTCTCCCGATTCAGCTAAGCGTGGCCTACGCTGTGTCACATTCATGGACCGTGGATAAGATGAAAGATAAGATCATGGGGACATGGCAGGGGAAAAAAAACAGATTCTCAAATCATGCTCGTGCTAGGGTTTGTGCCTAAGGCAGGACTAGAACTCACAGTCTCCCAGTTTCCAGGTTGGTGTCTTAACCATTATAGCGTACAGGTAGTCCTCAACCACAATTGAGCCCCAAACTTATGTTGTTAAATGAGACATACCGTATTTTTTGGAGTATAAGACACACCTTTTTCCCCCCTAAAAGAGGGTGGAAATGTTGGTGCGTCTTATACACTAAATACCTCCAAAGAGAAAATGGTACAGGGTTAAGGACAGTAATTGCATTGGAATTTCTGTCATTAAATTATGCGGTTTTAAAGTATGAGCCAGGGGTGAAATGCTCCCGGTTCGGACCGGATTGGACGATCTGGTAGTGATTGTGGCAGGTGATTCAGAGAACCGGTAACGATGGTGGTGCAAGGCTCCGCCCACCTGCCCGGGTGTCATTACTTTCTGGTTTTAACCAGGAAGTAATGTGTTTTTTACCCTCTGTGCATGTGCAGAGGATCTGTGGCGCGTGCACTTCCGAATCGGTAAGGAAGGTAAGTAGATTTCACCCCTGGTATGACCTCAAATGACCACACCACCTAACAATGACAATCCTGGCTGTCTCGGTTGCAGTCATTAACTGAATCCCACTGGTTGTTAGGTGAGGACCCACCCTGATCCAAACCATTCCCACCTTGGTCCTTTCCATCCCTGAATTTTGGTAAGGTAAGGGGCTACCTCTTCTTTAACCCCTCCCATCTGCCTATCTCAGTTTCCTCTGTTTTTCTACGTGAGCCTCAGGATGCTTGAAAATTTCATTCAAATTTCTCTTACTGATACAAACTTCCTGACTTGGTGAAACATGCAACAGCTGCTGCTCCTCTAAATTTTTTTTGAGACGCGTCTTCATTCTGCAACCTTCCTGGCTATCCCACACTTCACAATCTGAAGAAATACAATAGGAATGAAGAATGTCCTTCCTGATAAGATTGATCAAAAGTAAAGAAGTGGAACAAGGAAAGTTGCAGAGTACTGGAGGGATGATTGTACAATGAAATAAATAAATGTTCACACTCATTCTTTGTCCATTTCATAACTAAGGTAAGCTGCAGAAATGCATTGCTCTTCTGTGAATTTCTCCCAAATGTTTCTTTTGGATTGTGAAAAAAATATCTGTGAACAGTTAAAAAAATAAAATAAAGCCAGAACAGAACAAACTGAGGACTTCTTCTTCTTGTGCCATATCTGTCATCGGATGTAGGTGATCCTATTTTTGTCAACAGCCGTATGAAAAAGTGCTGCTGAGTTTTGTCCAAACCTGTCCCATAGGTTTTGAAGCCATGATGTTCTTCTTCTGCCTGGATCTCGTTTGCCTTCAATCTTTCCCTGGAGGATTAAGTGAAGGATGCTGTATTTTCCTGGGTGTCGCATCACATGTTCAAAATATTCTAACTTCCGCTTTTTAATGGCATTGATGATTTCCCTTGGCTTTCCCAGGCAGCTTATCACCTCGTTTCAGATTTTGTCAACCCAGTTTATACGCAACAGCCGTCTGTAAATCCACATTTCAAATGCTTCTAGTTTCTTCAAGTGGTTTTCTGTCAGAGACCAACCCTCCACTCCGTAGAGCAGGATAGAAAAGATGTAACATCTCATAAGCCTGATTTTCAGTCTTAGGTTTATGTCGTGACTGCAGAAGATCTTTTTTTCATTTTGAAGAATGCTGTTCGCGCTTTCTCTATCCTTGCCTTTACTTCGGTGGTCGTGCCCCAGCTTTCATGTAAATTAGAATCGAGGTACGTGATCCTTTCAACTTTTTCTAGTGGTATTCCTTCTGAATTTATCAGTGGTAAATTAATGGGTTGTTTGCTGACAACCATGATCTTGGTTTTTGAGGTGTTAAGCTTCAAGCCATATTTTTCAGATATATTTGAGACTCTGTTGATAAGGAGCTGAAGGTCTTCATGCTTATTGGCAAGCAGAACTGTGTCATCAGCATGTCTTAAATGGTTGATCTGAACAACATTTACTTTGAGGCCAGCATCAATGTTTTCCAGTGCTTCGTTGAAAATTGACTCAGACTGAGGACACAAAACTAATTTTATCCTGTTATTTTCATGAAACCTGTTGCAAAGGGTGGGGTTTTACCTCCCGCAGTGAAAATACTTCTCAAAACTATCAGTGGGGAATGGGGCAATGCATGTATTTTTCTGGTTGCATGAATAGGTGGGGGGAAAGGTAGATTCCTAAGCCAGTGATGGAAGAGAAACAATACCCATTTTCAATTTGCTGCCTTGCCTTCGGCATTTCCTGGACCACCAATAATTGCCAAGTTTCACTTTACAGCACCAGAGCAGATTCCTATCTTGAAGATACGATGAGCAGCAAAGTTGGTTAAAGATCTACAAAGTTGTTTGTTCTGGAGACAAAATATCTCTCCGCCCCACTTGCCTGGGGTATAGGATGAAAGTTACTATTTATCATACAGATAGAGAAAATATTTTTTGACCAAAAAATAAGGGCAACAGCACTTTTTTTTCATTAGAGGTTAGGCCATGGGTCTGCAACTTTAAACACTCAAAAGAGCCATTTGGACTCGTTTCCCACAGGAAAAAAAACACCGGGAGCCACAAAACCCTTCCCGTGCCTGACTATTTCTTGAGCCACCACAAAAGTAGCATATGGAGTTGAATTAAATGTTCTGTTTTCTTCTGAAACTTTTCTTTTCTTGGATTTATCCATGGTTGGCCTACCGGGGGTTGAAAAGCTCAATAAATCGCGTGCCAGGCAGGTGTCGCACATTGGCGGTTGTGACGCATATTTTGAGTGACAGGGAGCCGCAGTAGAGGGGTGAAAGAGCCACATGCGGCTCCAGAGCTGCAGGTTGCTAAACCCTGGGTTAGGCCAATATTGATTGTGTTAATATGATAAATTTATGCCCGGTTACCAAATTCACACTTTTTGCGGAGTACCACAATGCATTAAACCATAAACTAATCAAAGGGGCTGAATTCACACAACCTGCTAAGCCACACAAATAATAAGTAAGTTTAATATTAACCCAGCTTTATTATGTTGGTGAATGACTCCGCTAGAGATCTCTACTTGGCCTGGCTAAACCTATTGTGAGAGCATAACTTCTACCTTCTTCCTAAATTCAAGGCAACTTATTTGGAACTGATAATACATGCCCTTCACAGCAATCCTGTGTGGTATGTTGAATAAAAGAAAGACAAATGAAAGACGGTTCAAAGATCAACCAATAAATGGCCAGCAACTGGACTCAGATCTCCTACGTGCAACTGGTGTTACCCTTTGAGGAATGCTGGCTAGTCAAAAGTTGGCTGTGCAATTTATTCTAGTCATCGTATTCACCAGCATTAATTCAAAATGAATTGTGGTTTTCGGGAATAAGAGAAAAGACTTCGCTTTGCACTCAAGCAGTGTTTTTCAGAATCTTTCCATTTTTAAGGAACTTTGTCCATACCGCTTTATCTCCCAATATGCTTGAACTCTCCTTTATACAACATCTGCATTGTAGACAGTACTGTGATGGATCCTAGGGAAGACGCTTATAGTATGTAATGTTCTGTCACAAGCTGCTCATTGTAGACCAGAGTTTCTCAACCTCGACATCTTTAAGATGTGTGGACTTCAACTCCCGCAGTTCTCCAGTCAGCACCCTGGATGGAGAATTTTGGGAGTTGAAGTCCAGGCATCTTAAAATTGCCAAGGTTGAAAAACATTGTTGTAGACCAGTTTTTAACTGGTTGTTGTTAAGCCCCCAGTTCATGGACCAGCATCTGTCCATGGCATGCCAGAAATTGGGCTATGCAAACAAGCTAAATATGCTATTTAGTATACTGTCTTTGGAGTAAGCCGCCCAGAGTCCTCGGAGAGTGGGTGGCATAGAAATATGACTAATAAATAAATAAGCGAAGCCCCATTGATGAGACGCAGGCAGCATGGGAAACCAAATGCCCTCTGGTCCATGGAAAACCCTTTCTCCAGGGAACCGGTCCCTGGTCCCCAAAAGGTTGGGGACCACTGTTATAGACCATAAGTAAGGAACAGTCATGTATAAACTAGTAGTCAGCATTGAGTGAGGTGGTTGTTAAGCATACAGGTAAGTGTGGGATGAGAGTGAAAGTCCATGTAATGAAGCATCTTTCTTTATTGCAGCTTTCCAAGATGTCCATGTGATGATCTTTGTGGGCTTTGGCTTCCTCATGACCTTTCTTCAACGTTACGGCTTTGGAGCTGTTGGCTTCAACTTTCTCCTTGCTGCCTTTGGGATCCAGTGGGCTCTTCTGATGCAGGGCTGGCTCCATACCTTTGAGCATGGAAGGATACTCATTGGAGTAGAAAGGTAAGTTGGCATGCTTGGACACGGAAAGAAAGAGTTTCTGGGTAGCAGGACGCAAGACGAGCATGAAACAATAATGAAGATAGATTAAATTTGTGGCTTAGGAATGCAAAGATGTGCACTGGGAGAGAGATAAGATGGAATCTCTTATCATTTATGGAGTCCAAAATAAATGTCCAGGACTTCCAAAAAACAGCATTTTAGAGAGAATGCTGAAGCATCATCTGAAACACTCCACTTGTTCTGAGGCATACTTGGAATTTTAGATCAAAGGCAGATATGGAATTTGAAGTGAATATTCTGAGTGCACTGAAAAAATGGCTGCTATTGTATATATAGCAATAGCATTTAGACTTATATACCGCTTCATAGTGCTTTTACAGCCCTCTCTAAGCTGTAAAGTCAGCTTAGAGTCAGCCTATTTCCCTCAACAATTTGGGTCCTCATTTTATCCACCTCGGAAGGATGGAAGGATGAGTCAACCTGAAGGAAGGAAGGAAGGAAGGAAGGAAGGAAGGAAGGAAGGAGGGAGGGAGGGAGGGAGGGAGGGAGAAAGGAAGGAAGGAAGGAAGGAAGGAAGGAAGGAAGGAAGGAAGGAAGTGAGCCTGGTGAGATCTGAACTACCAATTGCAGGCAGCCAGCAGTCAGCAGAAGTATCCTGCAGTACTGCACTCTAACCACTGTGCCATCATGGTGCTTATGATTAATAATGAGCTAGCCTTTTAGGATTGTTCTGATTTACTTTCCTGATTGCCTGAATACTTTCCAGCAAAAAAGAAAAAGAAAAAGAAAAAAGAATAGAATGGTGACTATCCATGATTTAGAAATCCATCTTCTCTTGATGCAGCCTCATTGGACGACCTAAAAGTCTAGGTTAGGGACAGTTCATAGTGGACAAAATCTATCCATGTCATCCCCAAGGGTCAGGGTAAGGGTCAGGGGTGGGTTCTACTTACCTTTATTACCGGTTCGCAACGGGATCATGCATGCATGCGCAAATCATCGATGACGACATCCGGGATGGTGGGCGCCGCCTCCTGCCAGTTTTATTACCCATTCTTGCAAACCGGTCTGAACCAGGGGCAACCCACCATTGCTCGGGGGTGAAATTCAGCAGGTTCTGACAGGTTTTGGAGAACCAGTAGTAGACATTTTGAGTAGTTCAGAGAACTGGTAAATACCACCTCTGGCTGGCCTCAGAGTAGGGTGGGAATGGAGATTTTGCAATATCCTTCTCCCAAGAGTGGGGAGGGAATGGGGATTTTGCAGTATCCTTCCCCTGGAGTAGGGTGGGAATGGAGATTTTGCAGCATCCTTCCTCTGCTATGCCCACTAAGCCACGCCATACCCACCAAGCCACGCCCACAGAACCGGTAGTAAAAAAAATTGAATTCCGCTACTGCCAAGGGTCAACCGTGACTCCAAGGGCACATAATCTAACCTCAGGTGTCATTTTTTTGTAGCCATGTCTCACTGCTGGCTCATGGGATCAAGTGCAATTCCAAGACGCTCAGTGTTGTGTTGCCTCTGTAGCCTTCTCTGACTTCCCCATCTCTTCCTTCTCCTCTCAGCCTGATTAATGCAGATTTCTGCGTGGGTTCTGTTTGTATCGCCTTTGGTGCCATTTTGGGCAAAGTCAGCCCCGTCCAGCTGCTCATTATGACACTGTTTCAAGTGACCCTCTTCTCCGTCAATGAATATATCCTGCTTGATCTGCTCCATGTAAGGCTCTTCACCTTGGTTTCAAACGTTCAGAGATGCTTCCCTGTCTTAATTTCAAATTTTGTGACAAAGATTCCTTGTGTCAGCCCTGAAGATACAACGGAAAAAGATGGCTCCCAGGCCTGACAGGAAGCCATCTTTTTCATTGGATCATCAGGCCTAATACCTTGTGTATTTGGTTATTATCACTTACCATCCTGAGTAACTCTCTGCAGATGCAAGACAAAGAGGACAATGGTTTAAGTTTAAGGGTATGTTTTACTGTGGTGGAATGTAATCTGGATTCCCAGGAGGGAGGGGCTACATTCCAAAGAGCAAAAAGGCAATGAAGTTCGGAAAGTTTGGTCAGAAGGAAGAGGTTTAAAACAGCCCCCTCCTTAGCGATTCTCACTTATAGGTCTAGAGATGAAGAACAATAAAGGAAACTACTCGGAAGTAACTCCATCTGTTGTTCTTGGTTCTTGGGACCTGACACAAACTTCCTTCAGTTCAAGGCCTACTCTAAGCTTTTCAGGGCTGGGCATGAGGGACATTTCTTTAAGCAAACATCCTCATACCAGACTATTATTGGAACAAGAGATGGGTGACGCCAATCCTCCTGCCCCATAGAGATCATCTTCTTCTAGATCATCATACCACACTGACAGGAGGAAGAGGCTCAGAAATTTGAAATTTTGGCATGTCTTGCATCTGATGCATACAGCCACTTGAAATCTTTTGGAATGGATTCGTGACATAGTTTTTCTAAGGGATAAAATTTTGACAGAGATTTTATGTCCTTGGAGCAGAGGTGGATTTCAGTAGGTTCTGACCAGTTCTGGAGAACCGGTAGCAGAAATTTTGAGTGGTTCGGAGAACTGGTAAATACCACCTCTGACTGGCCCCACTCCCATCTATTCTCTGCCTCCCAAGTCCCAGTTGATTGGGAGGAAATGAAGATTTTGCAGTAATTTTCCCCTGGAGTGGGGTGGGAATGGAGATTTTGCAGTATCCTTCCCCTGCCACGCCCACCAAGCCATGCCATACTCACCAAGCCATGCCCACAGAACCAGTAGTAAAAATTTTTGAATCCTACCACTGCCTTGGAGGTATATTCTTACAATTGAGAGAGAAAATCCTACCGTAACACTACACACGAAATATGTTCCAAAAATGGATGACACCATAATCTAATGGGGAAAAGAAATTCATAATTTCTTAGGGGTGAAATAGGTGCCTTCAATTCTTGCAGGACTGCTCCCTGTATTGCTTTCTAAATAACCTCCAACACCAATTTAAACATTAATCTGTCTGCTCAAGGTCCTTGGTGACTGCAAAAATGGAACCTAAGTATAAATGTGGCTTACTAGCTATATTTTTTTATATATCCTTGCTATAACACATCTTTACCCAAGTAAGTGCTCTCTAGATTCATTCCTTTACAATTCCCAAAATCTCCCACCAGCATATCTAAGAAAGCAGGTTGGAATTTTGCAGTCCAAATGCATCTAGAGAGGTCTCCAGATTGGGGAGATTAATTTAGCAACGTTTGCTGAAACCCCCTGCAGAACCTCCTAGGTATCCAGTGAAAATCTTAACAATTATACATGCACCAGAAAAGTATTTGCTCAGAGTTCAGATTTTCTTCAGCTTTCAGAAGGGTGGCAAAAAGAGACAGGGCTTTCTGGGTGATGGCTCCTCTGGTAAGAGAAGTTTGCTTGGTTTCCACCATGTTACTTTATCCATTGTCTTGGATGAAGACCGCTCTTTCAGGCTTCTAAAATATCAAGAGCTGTCGTTTTATTTACTACGCTTCACATTTCATTCCAACAGTTCTTTTTGATGTTGGGTATTTTCTATTTTTGAGGGAACAGATGGAGCTGTTGTGTTCCTTCACTTGGATTTGTGTTGACTGTATTATTTTTGTATTTTATTGTCACTAGATAATAAGTTACTGTGCCTTCCTTAATGCCCAGAGGTAAATAACATGTTACTGCAGGGGTGAAATGCTCCCGGTTCAGACCGGATCACCCGATCTGGTAGCGATGGAGGCGGGTGGTTCGGAGAATCGGTAGCAAAAATCCCTGCCCCCCCCCCATGCCCAGCTGAGCCGCACAATCATCAGAGGCTTTTTTTTTTTACTTTTAAAAGCATTTTTTCTACAACCTCTTCGGCCAAAAATTGCTTTTAAAAGTAAAAAAAAAAAGCCGCTGATGATTGTGCGGCTCAGCTGGGATCTTCAAAGGCTTTTAAAAGAAAAAAACCCTTTTTTTCTTTTAAATGCCTCTGACGATCCCAGCTGAGTTGCCTGATCGGCAGAGGCTTTTTAAAAAATCCTCTGCCGATCAGGCAATTCAGCTGGGATCGTCAGAGCCTTTTGAAAGCATTTTTTTACAACCTCTTCGCCGAAGAGGTTGTAGAAAAAATGGTTTTAAAAGTTAAAAAAAAAAATTGGCCACGCCCACCCAGTCACATTCCCCACCCACCCCATCAAGCCACACCCACAGAACCAGTAGTAACAAATTTTAGATTTCACCACTGTGTTACTGGTCAAGGTAGCACTTTATAGGAGACCATTATATTACAGTCCCCCCTCATGCCCACTATGTAAGTGAGAGGAGAACCAAATTAGGAAGGGAGCAGAGCCCGTTGCTGGTTTCTTATCCATGACCCACAAGATGCAAGACTTGGAATGTGGTTGCACAAGTAGGGCACACTTTGATTGAACGTACATAAAAAGCCCCTGAGAGGAACAGATTAGCCATCAGATAAGGGGATTGAATGAGATTGTGGCTTGAGGGTTTGAATCGAAAAGCAGACTTAAAATAATATTACCAGCACTGTGGAATGCAGGGGAGAGCTACTTGACTTCAGCTCCACATGTTCTTTTTGCAAGCAAAGGAGCTTCTCGTCTGGTAAATTCATACAGTTTGTCTTCTCATTCAGACCAGAGGGACAAGACGATTGAATAAATACGACATCCCAAATTATTCTTCCACCCATTGTAAAACCAGAGATAAGAGTTGTATCCTCTGAAGGGCAAAGTAGTTACAACTCCATTCTTGGGACTAGCAATCGCATGTATTTTTTCTCCCCAATGTTTCATCTTTGTGTTTGTTAGAATTTTTTTTTTTTTTAAATCTCATTGTTCAGCCAGAAGAACTCCTGGGGTATCTTTCAGATAAGATAGTCCTTGCCTGCTGGCTTACAACTTAAAAGATCTCACACCAAAGTAAAAAGAGAGAGAAGGGAGGAAGGCCAACAGAACAGGGGTGCTATTCAGCAGGTTCTGTCAGGTTCTGGAGAACTGGTAGAGGAAATTTTGAGTAGTTCGGAGAACTGGCAAATACCACCTCTGGCTGGCTTCAGAGTGGGGTAGTAATGGAGATTTTACAATATCCTTCCCCCAAGAGTGGGAATTAAATGAAGATTTTGCAGTATCCTTCCCCTGGAGTGGGATGGGAATGGAGATTTTGCAGTATCCTTCCCTTGTCACGCCCACCAAGCCATGCCCACCAAGCCACACCATGCCCACCAAGCCACGCCCACAGAACCGGTAGTAAAAAAAAAATGAATTCCACCACTGCAACAGAAGCTATGATACTACTATGGTCCGTGCTATGGGTTGTGTAACTAAGCAACACGAAAAGTCTGCTACTTGTTCTTTGTCAAGAATCCACTTTCTTGCATATGAGTAGCAGTGAAAGCAATTCCAGAACGTTTCCTGAGTACAGGTGAAGGAAGGTTAAATTAGAGACATCGTCTGGCTGAAGATCCAGAAGGCCATGTCTCTGGAGATTCTCAATCATCCAAGTCATGGTTGTCCCACAGGTGCTTTTCAAAAGATAACTGATCTTTCTTGGTTTTTTTTTTCCCCTTGAAAACATGTACCTTCTCATCCAAGAAGCTTCCCCAGTTCTGAACTTCACTGAAGGAGCTTCTTGAATGACAAGCAAAACGTTTTCAAGGGAATCAAAAACAACAACTAAGAAACCCAAGGGAAGGAGAGTCCAGTTGCTTTGAAAAGCATTTTTTTTGGGGGGGGGGACATCCAGAAATAGAATTTTGAGATGCCCAAAGGCACAAATGTTCTATTTAGTTTGTTAAGCAACCGGGTTCAAGTTTCATTTGTGATATGCTGATTCTCTGTAGAATAAACCAATTATTTCTGGGTAGGCTTCAACCTCTTTTATATCGGTTACTGCAGGTGAAAGATGCTGGAGGATCCATGACCATACATACATTTGGTGCTTACTTTGGCCTAACGGTGACCTCTATTTTGTACCGGCCCAACCTCGAGCAGACCAAAGACAAGCAGGAATCTGTTTACCATTCAGATCTTTTTGCCATGATCGGTGAGTTGTGGTTCCTCCTCTCTCTCTGTTAGGCAGGAGATCCTTCGCTTTCTGAGACAAATAGTCAGGAATAGTGAAAAAGAGGCTTCAGGCTACTGACGAAGCAGCCTTTTCTCTTACCTTTATTTCTGTTTAAAGTAGCCCAAGGTATTTAAAGTGCTCAAGGTGAAGGTACTTAAAGTGGAAAATATTGTGAAAGGATTGTAGGACTTTGAGCCTTTAATCCACCGTGCACAAAGCTGCCTCTTCATCACATCTCGGAAAAGCAGGAAAAGATATGCTTGGCATGTCATTGTTTTGGAAATCTTAAAACCTCTTTCGATCCTTACGATCACACTGAAAGGAATGTAGAAGTTTCTTGATTTTTTTTTTTTAAAATTTGATTTATATGCCGCCCTTCTCCGGAGACTCAGGGCGGCTTACAATGCGTTAAGCAATAGCCTTCATCCTTTTGTATACTTATACAAAGTCAGCTTATTGCCCCCACAAACTGGGTCCTCAATTTACCTACCTTAGAAAGGATGGAAGGCTGAGTCAACCTTGAGCCTTGGCGAGATTCGAACCCTGCAGTAATTGCAGGCAGCTGGTCTTAATAACCAGCTTAATAACAGGGTGCCTTAGACCACTGTACTACCAAGGCTCTTTTTTAATGATGATTTTTTTTTGATGAGCTCTTTTCTAAACCAGCGGTCACCAACTGGTGGTCTGTGGACCACTGCTGGTCTGCGAGAAAATTTTGGTGGTCCACAGAAAAATTATTTGCATTTTTTTTATATTGCACTAAATCAGGGGTCCTCGAACTACGGCCCCTGGGCCGGATACGTGCAATGAATGTTTGTGTTGCTGCAGAGAGTCTTCCCCTTCGGGGTCTTTTTGTGCAGGTAGGAGGGGGGCAGAAATTCCAACTTGGGGTCTGCTTCGGCCTCCTGTTGCAGGGCTTTGGGCGAAGGCTGGAGGGAAGAGCTGCTGGTGGCGAAGAGCCGGAGGACCTTGTTCCAGTGGGACTGCATCATGGCCTGGAACTGGCTGACCATCTCAGCCCGCTGAGCCTCCAGGTGCCGGTACCTGGCCTTACATTCCCACAGGTCTTTCCTCTATGTCAGAGGCAATTAGCCCCGTTACCTTCCTGGGGTAATTGCCTGGATTGTGGCATTTTCCTTGGGTATACCTTTGAAAAATAAAACCGGAATACATCTTCTAATTAAAACTCATATTTATTGTAAAGAAGAAAATAAAACATCTTACTGATCTAAAATAATTAAATTGTTACATTTTGATAAAGTTCCTACCGACTACATCTCTGCAGTCGGACTTCTCTTGGCAGGAGAACAAAGAAAAGGGTGAAGTAGAAAGAAAGAATGCGGACATACATAGTATCAGTTACTGATAAGAAATTTTGGCAAGCTACGGAAAGTCTGACAGTCTAGAAATAATGAGCTCAGCTGGTAAATACAAAAAACGCAGTGACACTCTGCCGGGAAATCCTAGGCTCATAGTCCTCAGTGAGGTGCTTCTGCTGAGCCTCCTTCTCAGCCAGATCCAATTTGAACTGAACCAGCTGTTTTGCCAACTCTTTCTCATGGTGGCTGCTTAGCTCCAACAACTGCTTCCTGTTGGGGCCCTAAGGAGTCCGGGCAGGGAGGCAAGAAGTGGCTGGGAGAGGAGGGGCGAGTAGAGACTAACGAGGCGCCCCTCGACATGACATTGAGTTGGCCATGCCCACCTAGTCACATGACCACCTAACCATGCCCACCCAGCCGGTCATTAGGCAGATCGTATTAGCGGTCCGCGGGATTTAAAATTATGAATTTAGTAGTCCCTGAGGTCCGAAACGTTAGTGACCCCTGTTCTAAACTGCCCATTTACTGATCTGCAAACATCTCATTAAATTAGGGAGCTTGGTTTTCTGGTTTTGCTATTTCAACCTCAAGGTCCTATTTTGGATGTTGTTGTTTTTTTTTAAAATGCACACTAAATAGACCTGGAAGTATTTCTGTACAAGAAACCAGTAAATATGCTGTTATACAGATCAATATTAGTGATTGATTAGTAAGGTTATTTTTCCTGCCCAGTCTCTAGTTGGGCTAGAGCAGGGGTCTGCAACCTTAAACACTCAAAGAGCCATTTGGACCCATTTCCCACAGAAAAGAAAACTCCGGGAGCCACAAAACCCTTCCCATGCCTGACTATTTCTTGAGCAGTTACAAAACTAGCATATGTAGTTGAATTAAACTGTCTGTTTTCTTCTGAAATTTTTCTTTTCTTGGATTTATCCATGGATGACCTACCGGGGGTTGAAAAGCTCAATAAATCACGTGCCGGCAGGTGTTGCACATTGGCGGTTGTGATGCATATTTTGAGTGACAGGGAGCCGCAGCAGAGGGGTGAAAGACCTAGAGGGCTTCTCAGGAGCTTACGTTCATCCCTCATGCTTTATCCAGAAGAGTGAGCTGCCTACAGTTCCTGGTCCATCCTTGTAAAAAGCCAGTTCTTAAACTACCATTGCAGGAACCTTGTTTCTATGGATGTATTGGCCCAGCTTTAACTCAGCCATTTCCAATCACGGGGATGCACAGCACCGAGCTGCCATCAACACCTATTGTTCCCTTGCTGCTTGTGTCCTCACTTCTGTGGCCTTCTCCAGTCTCTTGCAAAAGAAGGGAAGGTTGAACATGGTGAGTAAAGTCGGGCAAGATGTCATGCCTTTCTCTTATCTTTCACAAGGTTTCATGGAATACCTCACTACAGGGCAGTGGTGGGTTCCTCCCGGTTCGGCCCGGTTCTCCCGAGCCGGTAGCGGTGACGATATGACATCACCGAACCAGTTCTGACCCCCCGCCTCCCGCCCCCACATTATTCTTACTTTTTATTTGGCCCTACCCCCAATTTATTGCTGCCTCCTGAGTCCCAGCTGATGGCTAGAGGGGAAAAAACTGTTTAAACTCTTGCCGTGGGGCTTCAAAGGGCCGCCCTACAGCTGATCAGTGTTAAAAGAAAACAAATGAGTAGTCCAGTGCCTGCAAAAATAAATGGGTAGACCAGTGCCTGCAAAAATAGATGAGTAGATCAGTGCCTGCAAAAATAGATGAGTAGACCAGTGCCTGCAAAAACAAATGGGTAGACCAGTGCCTGCAAAAAATAAATGGGTAGATCGGTACAGTTCTGCAAGCAGTTCAAAGCCTGGTAGACCAGTACCTCTGCTAAATCCTAAATAGTTGTCACATGACCATCAAGCCACGCCCACAAAATAAACCATGCCCACAGAACCAGTAATAAAATTTTTTAGAACCAACCCCTGCTACAGGGGTGTGTGTGTGGGGGCTGCTTGTGTGTCTACTCACCTACCTGCTTGCCTGCCAATCAATCAAGCAAGCAAGCAAGCAAGCAAGCATTAAAAATGGTGTCATGGTTTTCTGTTATCTTGTACAAAGTTTCATGGAACCCCCACCACAATGGTGCGTGTATCTCTCCCTTCCTTCCTTCCTTCCTTCCTTCCTTCCTTCCTTCCTTCCTTCCTTCCTTCCTTCCTTCCTTCTGTCTTTTTTTCTTTCTCTCTCTCTCTTTCTCTCTCTCACTTTCTTTCTTTCCCTTCCTTCCTTCCCTCCTTCCTTTCTTTCTCCCTTCCTTCCTTCCTTCCTTCCCTCTCCTTTCTTTCTTTTTCTTTCTCTCTCTCTCTTTTGTTCTTTCTTTCTCTTTTTCTCTTTCTTCTTTCTCTTTGTTTCACTTTCTTTCCTTCCTTCCTTCCTTCCTTCCTTCCTTCCTTCCTTCTGTCTTTCTTTTTTCTTTCTCTCTCTCTTTCTCTCTCTCACTTTCTTTCTTTCCCTTTCTTCCCTCCTTCCTTTCTTTCTCCCTTCCTTCCTTCCTTCCTCTCCCTCCCTCCCTCCTTTCTTTCTTTTTCTTTCTCTCTCTCTCTTGTTCTTTCTTTCTCTTTTTCTCTTTCTTTCCTTCTTTCTCTTTCTTTGTTTTTCTTTCTTTGTTTGTTTGTTTCTTTTTTTCTTTCCACCCCTCTCTCCCCCTTCTTTTTCCTTCCTCCTTCCTCCTTCCTCCTTCCTCCTCCACAGTAGGTCAGGAAAGCCATTGTGCTAATCATACCAAGACTGCACTTTTAAAAGACTATTGCATTGTGTCAAAAAGGAGGTGAAAATGACCCTTGGGGAAAAAAAAAAAGAATACATAAAGTAGAAAATCAGGAATTAAAATTGCTGTGTCTTCACAGGTCCATATTCAAAATGCCACCCTGGCCGGTGGTGTGGCCGTGGGAACCTCTGCTGAAATGATGCTCACCCCATATGGTGCTCTCATTGTGGGCTTCCTCTGTGGCATTGTGACGACCATCGGATACGTCTACATCACAGTAAGAGCATTTCTGAATGCACCAAAGCTTTCTTGAGCTTTGATGGAAGGACCAAGCCGCAAAAAAGTGGAGATGTTACTTCTTTACATTACATTACATTGTTGTGGCAATTTCCTCTTTGCAGTGCTCACTTTTTGTCCTTCCTTCCTTTCTTCTAGCCTTTCCTAGATGCCAAGCTACATATCCAAGACACCTGTGGCATCCACAACCTTCACGGAATGCCAGGTTTAATTGGAGGCATCGTGGGGGCCGTCACTGCTGCCGCTGCTACAGAAGGAGTCTATGGAAAGAAAGGGTGAGGTGCTTTGGGACGTCTGTGTAGGGCAGGGGTGTCAAACACAAGGCCCGTGGCAAGAAAGGTCGTAAAATGGGGCAAAACTCACTTAACAAAACGTCTCACTTAACAACAGAAATGCTGGGCTCAGTTGTGGTCGTAAGTGGAGGACGACCTTTATTGCTCCAATACACCTATCGGTATTCAACTAGGGTGGGAGAATATATGTATATGTGTCGTTGCTTTTTTTTTTTTTCTTTGCTAATGTACGTTTTTAAAAAGTTTTGTCTAGCTTTATTTTGTTTTGTAAGATTTTTTTTCTTTTTTTTTTCTTTTTTTCTTTTTTGTTCCTTTGGAATTTCTATTTTAACTTTCTGAATAAAATAAAATAAAATAAGTATTGGGGAAAAAATTGGACGTTTGGCAACCCACCAGTTACAGTACTATGCCCCAAAATTATGGGGATGACCATTGGTGACCTTCCCAGCAACTCTCACTTTAGAATAGAATAGAATAGAATAGAATAGAGTAGAGTAGAGTAGAGTAGAGTAGAGTAGAGTAGAGTAGAGTAGAGTAGAGTAGAGTAGAGTAGAGTAGAGTAGAATAGAATAGAATAGAATAGAATAGAATAGAATAGAATAGAATAGAATAGAATAGAATAGAATAGAATAGAATAGAATTCTTTATTGGCCAAGTGTGATTGGACACACAAGGAATTTGTCTTTGGTGCATAAGCTCTCAGTGTACATAAAAAGACAAGATACATTCGTCAAGAATCATAAGGTACAACACTTAATGATAATCATAGGGTACAAATAAGCAATCAAATCATACTAGGAAACAGTCAATATAAATCATAAGGATCAGGGCTGGGTTCTACTTGCCTTTACTACTGGTTTGCAATGGGATATCGTGCCGAGCTTTTGCGCATGCGCAGATCGTCTATGATGACATCTGGGTGGGTGGGCGGAGCTTCCCCTCTGGTTTTACTACCGGTTCGCAAGAACCGGACCAAACCGGGGGCAACCCACCACTGATAACGATACAAGCAACAAAGTTACAGTCATGCAGTCATAAGTGGGAGGAGATGGGTGGTAGGAATGATGAGAAGATTAATAGTAATAGTAATGCAGACTTAGTGAATAGTTCGACAGTGTTGAAAGAATTATTTGTTTAGCAGACACAACTGTTCTTGTGTCTAGTTGTTCTGGTGTGCAGTGCTCTATAGCGTCATTTTGAGAGTAGGAGTTGAAACAGTTTATGTCCAGGATGTGAGGGATCTGTAGATATTTTCACAGCCCTCTTTTTGACTCGTGCAGTATACAGGTCCTCAATGGAAGGCAGGTTGGTAGCCATTGTTTTTTCTACAGTTCTAATTATCCTCTGAAGTCTGCATCTGTCTTGTTGGGTTGCAGAACCAAACCAGACAGTTATAGAGGTGCAGATGGGAGACTCAATAATTCCTTTGTAGAACTTTGAGGGAAAGCAAGACAGATGGTGATGAACCAAACAGAGCTTGGGACTACAATTGTCTTTGATATGGAGAGAAATCTTCACGTTCCTCTCTTTTCCACTTCACTTCACTCCCACAGGCTCATCAACATGTTTGGCTTCACCGGAGAATATCGGGATCGAACACCCAGTATCCAAGGAGGATTCCAAGCAGCTGGCATTGCAGTATCACTAGCTATGGCTTTGGTAGGAGGAGCTATTGTAGGTCAGTGGAAGAAGTGGTGACATGATAGCAGTATTTCAGTATTTGAGGGATTGTCACAAAAAAGGGATGCGGTGGCTCAGTGGCTAAGACGGTGAGGTTGTCGATCAAAAGGTCGGCAGTTCAGCAGTTCGAATCCCTAGTGCCACATAATGGGGTGAGCTCCCGTTCCTTGTCCCAGCTTCTGCCAACCTAGCAGTTCGAAAGCATGTAAAAAATGCAAGTAGAAAAATAGGGACCGCCTTTGGTGGGAAGGTAACAGCGTTCCATGAGCCTTTGGCATTGAGTCCTGCTGGCCACATGACCACAGAGACGTCTTTGGACAGCGCTGGCTCTTCGGCTTTGTAACAGAGATGAGCACCTGCCCCCTAGAGTCGGGAATGACTAGCACATATGTGCAAGGGGAACCTTTACCTTTACTTTACCTTTACACAAACAAGGGGGGGTCAGCTTGTTTGTCAAAGCACCAGAGGGCAGGACAAGAAATAATGGATGGAAACTAATCAAGGAGAGAAGCAACCTGGAATTAAGGAGACTCAGTGCCGAAAAGGTTCGCCAATATAGGATCTCCTGCTCAAGGAGAGGGTCAGACAAAAAGATCTCCAGAGTCCCTTCCAAATCCTATTCTGTATTCCGATGCCAGCCTTTCTGTATTTTCTCTCCTGCTTGAAGGTAGAAATGGAGTCTTTCTCTGGATCACGTAATTCGAGGCAAAGCCAAGATTTAAATTTAGGTGAAAACTAACCAAGGAGAGATGCAACCTAAAACTAAGGAGCATTTTCCTGACAGTAAGAACAATTAATCCGTGGAACAGCTTGCCACCAGAAATTGTGGATATTCAATCACTGGAGGTCTTTAAGAAAAGATTGGATAATCATTTATCCAGAATGGTGTAGTGTCTCCTGATTGAGCAGGGGCTTTATTTATTTATTTTTATTTATTTATTTGTCAAGCATGTATAAGGTAACAGCTATAGGTATAAACATGATTATGAATACATGAAATGGATACAAATGAATGGGGGACAGTAGGACAGGGACGGAAGGCACGCTGGTGCGCTTATGCAGGCCCCTTACAGACCTCTTAGGAATGGGGTGAGGTCAACAGTAGACAGTTTAAGGTTAAAGTTTTGGGGGTTCGGGGATGAGACCATAGAGTCTGGTAGTGCATTCCAGGCCTTGACCACTCTGTTGCTGAAGTCGTATTTTCTGCAATCGAGTTTGGAACGGTTTACCTTGAGTTTGTATCTATTGTGTGCTCGTGTATTGTTGCGGTTGAAACTGAAATAGTCATTGGCAGGTAAGGACATTGTAGCAGATAATTTTGTGTACTACTCTTAGGTCAGACCGAAGGTGGCGTAGTTCTAAATTGTCTAATCCCAAAATTTCAAGCCTGGTGGCATAAGGTATTCTGTTGCGAGCAGAGGAATATAGGACTCTTCTCGTGAAATATCTCTGGACTCAATTATATTAATGGCCGATATGCAGTGCGGGTTCCAGGCAGATGAGCTGTATTCGAGAATTGGTCTAGCAAAGGTTTTGTATGCCCTAGTTTGCAGTACAATATTACCGGAGAAGAAGCTACGCAAGATTAAGTTAACTACTCTTAATGCCTTTTTGGCAATGTTGTTGCAGTGAGTTCTGGCACTTAGATCATTTGAGATGAGTACTCCAAGGTCCTTGACAGAGTGAGGGTCGTCTACGAGGTCATATCCACCCAGCTTGTATTTTGTGTTCTGATTTTTTTTGCCAATGTGTAAAAAAATGTTAGGCTAGAAGACCTCCAGGGTCCCTCCCAACCCTATTATCCTATGTTCTAAGTGAAAAATCCTCATGAAGAACAGCTGTTTTTCTTAACAGTGTGCCAGTAAGAGGTGAAATCTCTGCCTGTTCATCTATCTCTAATTTTCTATGACAACCCCGTGTCTAAGTCTCTGATGTTTCCCTGCTGCCATCTTCTGGCTTGTTAAGGTTTGGTTAAAATAAATAAATAAATAAATAGAAAAGTAAAATCATCTTCCCTCTGATCTCAACTATTGTAGACAGATATGGAAAAATCCTGCCGTTTTCCTGGGATTATAGGAAGTATTTCTTTCATGTTTCCAGTTGTGCAGCTCTTTCAAATTTTGGACGTCAAACTTAAAGAGTAATTTCCCCCCCCCCAGTTCTCGTGAATTGTTGTTTGTAACTTGGTGGATGTTTTCCCCCAACATGTTTTTTCTTTTCTTTTGTGATTTGTGCCATAGTACAGAGTGCTTTCTCAGTTGAAAAGAAAAAAAGAAAATTTAAAATTAAAATGCACCGTAAGTGAATTTAGCACCTGATTTTTCTTTCCCGAAGGTGGCATTTTGAAACTGCCCTTCTTTGGTGACCCTACAGATGAAAACTGCTTTGAAGATAATGTCTACTGGGAAGTAAGTGGATTAGACTTGGATTAATTAAATTAATCCAGATTGTGGAAGAAGCTCCCTCTGTCGAATCTGCACCAATGATTTATTCCATGGTCCTGGAAGTAACTTCCTAATTTTGTTCCTTCTCTCATTCACATATCCATCCTCCCTCCCTCCCTCCCTCCCTAACTTCCTTCCTTACTTCTCTCATTCCCATATCCTTTTTCCTTCCTCCCTCCCTCCCTCCCTGCCTCCCTTCCTAACTTCTTTCTTTCCTAACTTCCTTCCTAACTTCCTTCCTTCTCTCCTTCTCATATCTTCCCTCTCTCCCTCCCTTCCTAACTTCCTTCCTTCTCTCATTCCCATATCCATCCTCCCTCCCTCCCTCCCTAACTTCCTTACTTACTTCTCTCTTTCCTATATCCTTCCTCCCTCTCTCCCTGCCTCCCTTCCTAACTTCTTTCTTTCCTAACTTCCTTCCTAACTTCCTTCCTTCTCTCATTCCCATATCCATCCCCCCTCCCTCCCTCCCTCCCTCCCTAACTTCCTTCCTTACTTCTCTCTTTCCTATATCCTTCCTCCCTCTCTCCCTGCCTCCCTTCCTAACTTCTTTCTTTCCTAACTTCCTTCCTAACTTCCTTCCTTCTCTTCTTCTCATATATTCCCTCCCTCCCTTCCTAACTTCCTTCCTTCTCTCCTTCCCATATCCATCCTCCCTTTTGTCTGTCTGTCTATCTGCCTGCATGTCTAATATGCCTCTCTCTCTCTCTTCTCTCTTGCCTACATCTATCTAACATCTGTCTGTCTGCCTCTGTCTGTCTGCCTATCTGCCTATCTCTCTATCTGCCTGTCTATCTCTTATCTATCTATCTATCTATCTATCTATCTATCTATCTATCTATCTATCTATCATCTATCTATCTATCCATCCATCCATCCATCCAATCTATCATCTACCTATCTGCCTGCCTGCCTGCCTCCCTCTCTCTCTCCCATCCATCCGTTCATCTAATTCTAATCTATCTGATATCGAGTTGAAGACGCTTTTATTTATCAAGCCGGCCTGCCTAATTCTTCTCCCTTTAAACTGTAAATTTTAAATTTTTAAATGTATTTTAAAATTATGGGTTTTTAATCAGTATTAATTTCATCCAAATTTATTTAATTCATTTTACTTGATCTTAAATTTTGTATATTTATGTGTTTTATCTCATGGCTGTGCACCGCCTGAGTCCTTCTGGAGTAGGGCGGTATAGAAATTCAATAAAATAAATAAATAAATAAATAAAATACTGTATGAGGAGAGATAATTCTGCCACTAGGTGACACTGTTGCCTGCCAAATAACAAGCTGGTGATTTACCAGCTTTGCCCAACATACATGCCCTCCAGGCGCGTTGGATTCTAACTCCCATCCCTCTCAGCCACCTAGCTGTGTGCCACAGACACCACCGTAATCCAGATATCTGGACAGTGCTGCACCTTCAAGTGCATAAAAGCAATCAATGCAGGAAGAGGGATTTTTTTTTAAAAAAAGAGGTGATTCTGACTCACCCTGCATTCTGCCATCCTTCCAAAGGTCCCTGGCGATGAAGAGAGCAACCTTTACTGCCTGCATGACTCCAATGCTAAGCCTGTGATTAACCCTTAACCTGGGACATTAACAGCCGAAGGGTAAGACAGCCAACTCTTTCACATGCCATCTTATTTCTTCTTCTTTTTTTTAATATTACAGTATGGCGCAGACCCGATCAGGTTCTCCAAGGGCATTAAAGTCCAAATGAAACCAATGCACAAATATCTTGTACCACTCACTTGTCAAAAATTATATATGCTTTCAATGGAAAAGAGTTTTTTTTTAAATTTATAAGGCAGACTTCCTGATATTCTTTAGTGCCTGGCTGATTTTCATAATGCAAACATCCATCATCATCATCATCATCATTTAATGACACTATAATCCATTGTGGGGTGGAATCTGGGCAACTGAATGGAACTAGCAGAGTGTTTACTGGCCGGATGCCCTTCCTGTTGCCAGTGTGGAGTTTTGTTCAGCAGATATATTCTCAGTGTGCCCAGAGAGAGAAATATCTGCTTCTACCTAGGATCGAACTCACAGCCTCCTGATTGTGAGGCAAGAGCTCCACCTCTAGGCCACCACAACACTCCAATGCCAACATCCAGCATGCACTATCATATTCTTATGCTCCCCTCTCCCCACCCTTGTTAAAAAGGCTTCTGTTTTTCCGCCTTATGCTCAGAGGGGTAAAATGTTTTTCACCCTTCTGCTACTTTCCTGGCTGCTCCAGTTTCCCAATCTGGAAAATCCCCATAGAAGACATCTGCTTATAAGGCCTTGTCTCAGCATTTGGTGGAAGCATGCGAGGTCTGAAAATTTGCAGCAAGAAAAATATTTGCACGCTCTCTTTGTTGACCTTACAGCTAAAGCAGTGGTGAAATCTAATTTTTTTTTACTATCGGTTCTGCGGGCGTGGCAGGGGAAGGATATTGCAAAATCCCCATTCCCTCCCCACTCTGGGGCCAGCCAGAGGTGGTATTTGCCGGTTCTCTGAACTACTCAAAATTTCTGCTACCAGTTCTCCAAACTGCTCAAAATTTGCACTACCGGTTCTCCAGAACCTGTCAGAACCTGCTGGATTTCACCCCTGAGCTGAAGTAATGCAGGAACAACACCCTTTGACCATGAGAATTGCTGGCCGTGGGATTCTGGGAGTTGAAGTCCACACATCTTAACAATGCTAAGGTTGAGAAACTCCAGGTTATAGAATACAAAATATTTGTCAGGTCCCAAGCTGGGAAGGGAACCTATAAATAGACAATAAGAAAAAATTATGCAAACAAATAATAAGGAAGTTGAGAAGGGTGGATCTCTTCCCCAGGGAAAAGAAGACTCAGACTATTACTTAATTTGGCAGAAATGGTACAACTGGTTAGATAAAAAGAACACGAAATAAGGGAATACCACCCAATGATACAAAAATAAGGAAATAAAATGAAATATCGTTGTATAAACATTGATACATGATGAAAGATAAATATACATAGATATATGGATATATAATTACCGAAGTAGCCCTATTTTTAAAGTTCAAGCTGTATGACTTGATCTCACTGTATAGTTAGTTTATGTATAGTTTGTTTAAATGTCTACGTCTGTATATGTATGTTTGTTTATTAAATAAAAAAATATAATAAAAAATAATAATAATAATAATAATAATAAAAAAAGAAATATTTCCAAGTGACACAGTTAAGTAATGGGATTTCTTTCTTTCTTTTGTAGGGTGATCAATCTCTGCATTTGAAATTCCTTTTTTTAAAAAAACAGCAGAATCAAGGAAACTGAAGAAGGGAAAAATATTATCACTCAAATGAAGATCTTTTTTTTTAAAAAAAAAACATGAATTCTGGCAAAAAAATTATGCAAACAAATAATAAGGAAGTTGAGAAGGGTGGATCCTCGGATTCAGAAGCATATTGCTAAAACCAAAACAAGTTATGAAAAAAAAAAAACATAGAAGTAATAAGCAATAAAATTTTAGACCTCATTGATCAATAAAAAATGAGCCAGGCATTCCCCATAGAGCTCTTAAAATGAAATCGCTGAAGTTTTAGCAAAAGCATATAACTTTCCCTAAAATTGGCTCTTTTTTTTTTTTTTTTAAAGGCCTGGAGATTAGTTTTCTTAAAAAAAAATGATAAGGAAAGAAGGCAAAGGAAGTAAAAATTTCAGCTTCCATTCTTGGTAAATTTGTGGAAAGCTTTAGGAAATATAAAATTACAAGCCTTATGGAAGAATGAATATAGTTTCTGGACAGGCAAGTGTCACCTCCCCAAATTTTTTAGAGTTATTTTAAGGAGTCAACCTGATTGATCTTTTAGCTGGATGCTTTAGCCAACATCTTCATCAGGGCATCCTGAGTCAACCTACCAATCAAGGGAGAAGATCATTCCTTTCATAGATGTTGCAAGACCGAGAAAGAGAGAACAAACGTAATGCGAGTTTTGAGGGATGAGGGATGCCAAGAAAATAAGGTCATCCATATGATCTGTAGGGAAATTGGGGCATTTTAATAAAGCAGTTCCAAAATGATCTAGCGATGAGCAGCCTAGAGCAAGCAAAGCGGTTGAATTTGCAGATGATTCCTGATGGAGGGGAAGTGTCAACCGGCTCTCGAAGGGGGAGCCCCTCAAAGGGCTCCCAAGTGAGATTCCTTCTCATTGCATGGAAGAACCGTCACCTAAATTTCGTTACAGGTCTTGGGGTGGTTGTCCACAGTCTGAGGAATATCTTGACCCACCCAATGGGACACCAGGCTTCATCAAATCAGTTAGAGGCCTCGAGGCTGCAACGCACAACTCTGCTTTCCTAAATCTGTAAATGTTGTAAGTAAAGGCATTTTTACAAAAAGTGACCAACGTTTGCCATGTTTTATCTTCCACAGAGACTGGTCCTTAGAACATTGAATATCAGAGTTGGAAGGGACCTTGGAGGTCTTGTAACCCAACTCCCTGCTCAAGCAGGAGATCCTATACCCGTGATGGTGAACCTATGGCACGCGTGCCACAGGTGGCACGCGTAGCCATATCGGTGGGCACGCGAACTCAGCGCCAGCTGATTTTCGGGCCTTCTGGGTCATTTCCAGCCTCCGGAGGGCTTCCAGGGGGGTAGGGAAGGCCATTTTCGCCCTCCCCAGGCTCCTAGAAAGGCTCTGGAGGCTGGGGAGAGCAAAAAACATGCCTACCAGGCCCACCATGCCATCGCGTGCCAGGAGCAGCAGGGTAGCGGGCGGTCGTGCTTGCATGTGTGGGGCCAGGGCACATAAAATTATGGGTGTGGGAACACATGTGCGTGACCCCCCTTCACCCCCGTGCTCCTGGCATGTGATGGCAAAAAAGTTAGCCATCACTGCCCTATACAAATCCAGACAACTGGCTGTTCAGTCTCTTCTTAAAAGCCTCCAGTGATGAAGCACCCAGAACTTTTGAAGGCAAGTTGTTGCACTGGTTGATTGTTCTCACTGCCAGGAAATTTCCCTTTAGTTCTAGACTGGATCTCTCTTTGATTAGTTTTATTTATTTATTTTATTTATTTATTTATTAAATTTTTATACCGCCCCCTCTCCCGAAGGACTCGGGGCGGTGAACAGCCAGAATTAAAAACACACAATACAAATATTAAAATACATTAAAACAAATTAAATTATCTTTGGCTTCTCCAATTTTAAAACCCCTTACCCATAAAATTCACCCAATTAAAAATTTTAACCCAGCCCGGTTAAATTTTAACCCAGCCCAGTTTCCATCCGTTTCTTCTTGTCCTGCCCTTAGGTGCTTTGGAGAATAGGTGGTTGTCCTCCTCTTCTTTGTGGCAGCCCTTCAAATATTGAAACACTGCTATCATGTCATTCTTGGTCCTTCTTTTCTCTAGACTAGCTATACCCAATTTCTGCAATTGTTCTTCATATGTTTTAGCCTTCATAGGATTTAGCCCTAATCGTCTTTGTTGCTCTTCTCTGCCCTTTTTCCAAGGTCTCCAAACACCTTTTTTATAATGTGGTGACCAAAACTGGAACCCAAATGTTCACTTTTCAAGTGATGCTTATGGCTTAACATTTCTCAATTGCACACATTTTCCTATTTTCTCCCATATTGGGGCTTGCTTGCACATTTTGCATGCATAACTGGATATTGAAGCTGGGAAGAAGAGAAGCTCCTCTCTCTCTCTCTCTCTCTCTCTCTCTTTTTTCTTTGTTTCTTTCTCTCTCTCTCCCCCTCCTTCTTTTCTTTCTTTCTTTCTTCTTTCCTTTCTCTCCCTCCCTCCCTCCTTTTCTTTCTTCCTTTCTTCCTTCCCTCCTTCCTTCCTTTCTATCTCTCTCTCCCTCCCTCCCTCCTTTTCTTTCTTTCTTTCTTCCTTCCTTCCCTCCTTCCTTCCTTCCTTTCTTTCTCTCCCTCTCCTCCTTTCCTTCCTTCATTTCTTCCTCTTCCTCCCTTCCTTTCTACCCTTCCTTCCTTCTTCTCTCTCTCTCTTCCTTCCTCCTTCCTTCATTTCTTTCTTTCTTTCTCTCTCTCCCCCTCCTTCCTTCCTTCCTTCCCCTTCCTTCCTTCCTTCCTTCCTTCCTTCCTTCCTTTCTCTCTCTCCCCCTCCTTCCTTCCTCTTTCTTTCTTTCTTTCTTTCTTTCTTTCTTTCTTTCTTTCTTTCTTTCTGGCTGCTCTCCATGGTGTCTGCTTATATTCTCACACCCAAGGAACGAATTGGATGTAAGCCATTTGTGTGCCCTTGGGATACAACACCCTCATTTTCTATGCTGGAGAAAGAGGGGCCCGTGCACCCCCCGCCCTAAACCTGTCTCTCTTTATCACATGTTCCTGGAATTTGTCAGCAGCTGCCAGCAGCAGCATCTTAATTAACTGTCGGCAAAGATGGAAGCACATGAGACACGGTTCTAATTGGACTGTTGGCATTGTGGAAATGGGGAGGGAGTGGAAAGCAACAAAGGCAGAGGCTCCAGAGCTAGGAGTGTCCCCTCTGTGTGGCATGGGGAGGTGGGATGAAGGAGATCCGTCTGTCAAGATAAGTGAGGATTTGGCTTGGCTTGATCCACAATCACTTTGATTTAAAGAAGGGGTGAGGAAAGAGAGAGAGAGAGCAGGAACAATGACCAGAAGTCTTGGTCAACAGCTATTATTTTTTTTTCTCCTAGGTTCTTTGTTTATTTATTTATTTATTTGTTTAAATTTCTATACCGCCCTTCTCCAAATAGGACTCAGGGCGGTGCACAGCCTTGTCAAGGTTGATGCAGAAGTAGTGGTAGAGGGTAGAAAAATTGTTTGCTGAAGGATTCATCAGTTCTTAGTTACATCTTGCTTTGGTAACTGCTTTGGAACATGTAGGACTCTCTCCCTCTCTGTCTCTCTCTGTCTCTCTCTGTCTCTCTGTCTCTGTCTCTGTCTCTGTCTGTCTCTCTCTCTCTCTCTCTCTCTCTCTCTCTCTCTCTCTCAGATAGGTAGGTGGATAGATAGATAGATAGATAGATAGATAGATAGATATAAATAAATAGATAAATAGATAGATAGATGTTAGATAGATAGATAGATGATAAATAAATAGATAATTAGATAGATGTTAGATAGATAGATAGATAGATAGATAGATAGATAGATAGATAGATAGATAGATAGATAGATATTTTATAGATAGATGGATGGATGAATGGATGGATGAATAGATGGATGTAATCCTCAATTTATGATCACAATCGGAACCAAAATTTCCATTGCTAAGCAGGACAGTTGTTAAGTGAGTCACCCTCAATTGTGCCAAGTGTCTGAATTTTGGTCAGTTAGCCTGTGATAGTCAGAAGTGCAAGGACCAGTTATACGTCACTTTTTTGGTGCCAACTTTGAACAGTCACTAAACAATGGTTGTAAGTCGAGCACTACACACACACACACACACACACACACATTAGAGCAGGCGCAGTGGCAGCCTCATTCAAATATGATCTCCTTCTCCTTCTCCTTCTCCTTCTCCTTCTTCTCCTCCTTCTCCTTCTCCTTCTCCTTCTCCTTCATCATCATCATCATCTTCATCTTCATCTTTTTCTTTGCCTTAAGCAGCCAAATGTATTGCCCCATCCTTTTTCAGGAGGGCTTAATCTCAGGGAAATGACTGAAGGATGGCAGTTAAATGGTTTTAAGGAAGCCAAAGGCAGTTTGAAGGAGCCCTTGGTAAAATGTTCATCTAGGATTTTTATCGCATAGAGGAATCACATCCAAAGTTCTTGGAGAAGATATGCTTCATAGGATAGTGAAAGCATCCAACTTTTTTTTTTTTTTTTAAAGAGAAGTTTTGATCTCCACCCTTTTATTTTCCCCACAAGCTTCTCCGGCCAACTTTGCATCAAGAGAGTTGTGGGGAAAACCATCATTGCTTCCAGATGAATATTGATAGTATTTATTTATTGCACTTTGGTAAGGCTATGATACCCCATAGTTTAATCTGGGTCCAAAAATTCAATTGTTTCAGGGTAAGGATGATTTATGGGGATGCGGTGGCTCAGTGGCTAAAAGACTGAGCTTGTCGATCAAAAGGTTGACAGTTCAGCGGTTCGAATCCCTAGTGCCGCGTAACGGGGTAAACTTCCGTTTCTTGTCCCAGTTTCTGCCTACTTAGCAGTTCAAAAGCAGGTAAAAATGCAAGTAGAAAAATAGGGACCACCTTTGGTGGGAAGGTAACAGCGTTCCGTGCACCTTTGGCATTTAGTCATGCTGTCCACATGACCACGGATATGTCTTCGGACAGTGCTGGCTCTTCAGCTTAGAAATGGAGATGAGCACCGCGCCCTAGAGTCAGGAATGACTAGTACATATGTGCGAGGGGAACCTTTACCTTTTTAATGATGATTTAAAATTGACCAGCCACTGTAAAGCTGTGGACCAGGATGAGTCAGCAGGGTTATTGCGGCTTTAAGACTGAGGATGAGTCAGCAGGGTTATTGCCACTTTAAGAAGATGCCCATATAAGGGAGGCCATGGGAGGGCAATCTTTCCCTCCGTGTATTATCTCTCTCCTGGTGTATCACTCTCCTCATCGTGTTCTATCTGCATTGTAGTTCTCCGTGTAGAGTTGAAGATTGCTTGCTTGCCTGGTATGTGCCTACCATGTGTGTGTATGTATATAGAAGTCTTGTAAGACAAACCTCTGTGTCCTGTATTTTGCTCCTGGGTTGCCTCAAAATAGCAGTCACGCTGTAAACACTCTGACAAATTGGAATGGATGGGCCCTATTCCAATTGCTTTGCTTCCCCACATAGCTGAAAAATCCATCTTTATTATTATTGGTTCAATTTATATGCCGCCCTTCTCCAGAGACTCAGGGCGACTTACAATGCGTTAAGCAATAGCCTTCATACTTTTGTATATACCTGCTTGGTAGGGCTTTCACCTCCCCCCCAGTGGTGTTCCTTTTTATACAAAGTCAGCTTATTGCCCCCACAATCCGGGTCCTCATTTTACCTACCTCAGAAGGATGGAAGGCTGAGTCAACCTTGAGCCTGGTGAGATTCGAACTTGCAGTAATTGCAGGCAGCTGATGTCACTTAACCCCACTTTAATCTGCTGCGCCACCAAGGCTCTTTAAAGGCCAACCCATGTAAAATGCAGTATAGTCCTTGAATCCAAGTATGGTGAAATCCAATTTTTTTTACTACCGGTTCTGTGGGCATGGTTTGGTGAGCGTGGCTTGGTGGGTGTGGCAGGGGAAGGATACTGCAAAATCTCCAATCCCATCCCACTCCAGGGGAAGGATACTGCAAAATCCCCATTCCCTCCCCACTCCTGGGGGAAGGATATTGCAAAATCTCCATTCCCACCCAAATGCCAGAGGTGGCATTTGCCGGTTCTCCGAACTACT